CTTTTTCTCTTAATTTTTATTTATAGAGTATATATATATATATATATATATATATATATATATATATATAATAAAGACGACACTATCTGTTAAATGAGTATCATGAAACAAACACAAATATTTTTCCAAATGAACACCTACTCTGACTCAATAAAAGTTCAAGTCTCAATAGGAACAATCTTAATTATTTATAATTTACATTACACTAGTTTCTTGAAAAGGATTTTAGGAGATTAGAATTTTAAAGAGGTAAAGTATATATTCCAAAGAAATATTTTGGCAATATTATGTATGTGTGTGTGAGTTTTAATTCCTTTGACACAAAACATTTCTAGGATTAATTAGGTTTGAAAGTTGACATGCTGCAGGCCACCTCATGTGTTTATGAAGATCAAACTGACAACACAGCCATCAAATGAACACTGCGGTCTCACCAATAAGACTTGACAGGACAGTCAAGGAAGCAGAATTATCTAGGCTGATCAAGAAGATTTTCTGACTTTAGATCCCTCTGAGGAAAAGAAAAGGCAGGGCAAATTTCTAGCTACATCTGCCTTTCCTGCAGACAAATAAGTCTTTTAGTAAGTTAAATCAAAATGGAAAAAAATGACCATGTGTCTGAGAAAATGATACTCTGAATCTGAAACTAGGAAGCATTGAAACAAAGTAGATGGAATTCTTTCCCTGTAAAGATCTTCCATGAGTTTATCTACCATTAAAGAAGATTAGTAATTATGTCATAGATGAGATTTAGGTGAGCTTCCAAATCCAACCAGTAGAAGTTACACAAACTACATTTTTGAAAACTACATCTAAGCACATCTACAAAGGTAACATACTCTGCTAACGCTGAAAGAAATTGAATGGTTGGAATTTGTCTGTTTCTACTTCAGTTCAGGTAGGTTCCCTGAAGCAACTGGTCTTATTTCTTTAAACAGAACTCTCCCTAAAGCAGAAAGGGGTATCTGTTTGTGGGTGTGTGTGTGGGAGATACATAAATATCATTACTTGAAATAAATGTCACTTAAGGACATCCAGGGCCCTTTGCTCTAAGTCTATGTTCTTCTGAGAGGACTCCCCCTCCAAGAAGTGATTTGTATAAATGCTGATTCTAATCAACTGAGATAAGGATCTCATTGGCCATTTAAAAATGAACAGCCTTACCCAAAAGAAAATTTTCTCCTTGTTTTGAAAAACTAAAATGCACCCACAAAGACATACATCAATTCAATGTAAACTAGAAAGAAAAAAAAAGAAACTGCTCTCTTATATATGAACCATCCTCTCAATAATCAATGATTTGAGCTTCTGAACCAATATACCTGATTGTAAGACCTTGGATAAGTGTTGTTCCCAACAATGTAAGATGCTATCTATCCTGACATCATGGATTCTTGATGAAATGGTATCACAAGATTGTTATAGGCCAAGACAACCACTCAAAATCTCTAAACTGAGGCCATGTACCTTGTATCCCTGGTTGATGCCATTGATAAACTGCTGAGGTGGAGGGTTCCACAGGAATTGAATGGTCGTGGAGTTCACAGCTTCCGTCTGCACATTCTGAGGGGGCGCAGTAGGCACTGTTTCAGGGCAGTAGTTGAAGACAGCAAAACAAACAGTTGGAGGCACAGTGGGGAGGAGAGATGAAAAAGAGACCCTTAGGTGCCACTCACAACTCACAGGCAATTATGGCACTGAGAACAGGGAAGTGTGATGAATGTTTTTGAAGCTAACAGTGTCATTACAGAGAAAGACAATAGGGCTATTTCTCTTTCTGTTGGAGAATTCTATTTTTCCCTTTCCTTCCTTCCTTCCTTCCTTCCTTCCTTCCTTCCTTCCTTCCTTCCTTCCTTCCT